GTTATCATTCAATCATATGTTGTCACTACTATCATTCAACATATGTTATCATTCAATCATATGTTGTCACTACTATCATTCAACATATGTTATCATTCAATCATATGTTGTCACTACTATCATTCAACATATGTTGAATGATAGTAGTGACAACAGATATCCTTGCTTTGTTCCTGATCTGAGAGGTAAGTCTTTCACTATTAGGCTAGATGTTAGCTATAGGTTTTTGGTAGATACTTCTTTTTTTTTTTTTTTTTAAGATTTTATTTATTTATTTGACAGACAGAGATCACTAAGTAGCAGAGAGGCAGGCAGAGAGAGAGGAGGAAGCAGGCTCCCTGCTGAGCAGAGAGCCCGATGACGCAGGACTCAATCCCAGGGCCCTGGGATCATGACTTGAGCTGAAGGTAGAGCCTTAACCCACTGAGCCACCCAGGTGCCCCGGTAGATACTTCTTATCAAGTTGAGGAAATAGCCCTCTATTTCTAATTTGCTGAGAATTTTAATTATGAATGGGTATTGGATTCTGCCTAGCACTTTTTCTGCATCAGTAGATATAATCATATGCTTTTTCTTTTTAACATGTTGTGATGGATTACATTTATTGATTTTTGAATATTGAGTCATCCTTTCATCCCTGGAATAAATCCCATTTGATCATGATGTATAGTTCTTTTTATACATTGTTAAATTTGTTTTTACTAATATTTTGTTAAGGATATTTTTACATCTCAGTTCATGAGAGATAGTGGCCTATAGTTTTCTTTTCTTTTCCTTTCTTTTTTTTTTTCTTTTCTTTCTTTTCACTTCTTTCCTTTCCTTTCCTTTTCTTTCTTTCTTTTGCACTGTTTTATCTGGTTTCTATATCATGACAATCTCTTAAAAAATATTTGGTGCTTGTCTTGCCACCTTTCTCGTGAACACTCAGATTCCTTTCTTTACTTCTTTTTTTCTCTTCTACCCTCCCTACTTTCTTTCTCTTTCTCCTTCCTTCCTTCATTCATTCCATTCTTCTATCCTTCCATCCTTCCTTCTTTTGCTTTCTTTATTTTTCTTTGTGTGTAGTGTGTGTGTGTGTGTGTGTGAAAGAGAGAGAGAGAGAGAAAGACTGGAAAGAGAAAAATCAGCAGTACGTTTTTCCTCTTCTTCCCTAACTCTTTTCTTTTTCTCTCATTTCCTCTTTTTGATCTCAGGTTATGAATTTGTTGTGGCCATTAACATGTCGTATTTTCTTTAAGGTAATTTTACTCATTCGAGAACTTTACCAAAAGAAACACCCAACCTCAAACCCAGGCACACACATATATACTTGTGCCCGTACAACCCCAGTGATCATTTATTTGACATGCTCCTTGTTTGACATCAGTACAGAAATCTATGTTTCATCATAGTATAAATCTTTGATTTAAACATTTTTTAAACATTATTATCCTTTTCATGCATCCAGAGTCTTAATATTTATTTCAATGGCTTTATAATAGGCCACTGAATTGATAGCTTAAATATTTAATTATTGCCTAACTCTTGAGAATTTAGATTGTTTTCCTTTGTGGTTATTTTAATGTGATATTTATTTGCATCTTTGTGCATAGTAAATTTTTTTAATGATTATTCTTGAAATGTGTTTTAGTAGTGGAGGCAACAAGCCATTTATGATTCACTGCATATAATTCTCTTACACAACTGAACTGTTTCATAATTCCAACATTATGGATTTCCAATAAAAATTTTTAATTAAAAGTAATTGATGTCTGAAGCAATTAGAAAAGTTATAAAACGATCATAGTCTCTTACCTCCACTTCCTCACACTCACAGTTTCTTCCTAGAGGACATGAGACCCAGATGGATCCAGGCTCACTCTAAGCCCTTGTGATGGCTCTCATAGTGAATGGGCAACCGAGAGACATGTGTTCAGGATGCCATCTTCCAAGAATACTCCAGAACTTCCTTTCCTTATTTTTCAAAATACCTTTTTAATATTTGTAAAAGGTGCAGCAGGGTCTTCTGTACTTACTATTTCTTTTATAAATGAAATAAATACAAACTTTCCTCCGAGGAAGCGTACAGTAATCCCTGTGAACTTCTCCCCTGCAGAGTTGAGGCTTTAACTTTGAAAATGACAACCTGCACAGCTTTTTTAAAAATTATTACATAGGGGCGCCTGGGTGGCTCAGTGGGTTAAGCCTCTGCCTTCAGCTCAGGTCACGATCTTAGGGTCCTGGGATCGAGCCCCACATCGGGCTCTCTGCACAGCAGGGAGCCTGCTTCCCCCTCTCTCTCTGACTGCTTCTCTGCCTACTTGTGATCTCTCTCTCTGTTGAATAAATCAATAAAATCTTTAAAAAATAAAAAAAATAAAAAAAAAATAAAAATTATTACATAAATAAATTATAGTAATTATTTTTAAGAAGGAAACCATTTATTAAAAAAAAGGTAAAAAGAAGGATATAAAGGTGGTTTAAAATTTTACAAGTCTGATGACCACTAAGAATATTTGGCATTCTCATAATTTCAGATTTTTCCCCTGTAGTCTCTACATTTTAAAAATTCAGTTGGGGCCATATTATGCTAATTTTCTCATAATCTGCTTTTATATTGATAGTAGTTCACCAAAGTTTTCTGTTTCAATAAAAGACATCTACACCACTTTGAATTATAGCATAATAATGTAATCATGGACATAGTATTGATTTTTAAATCAGTTCCCTATTCCTAAATGTGTGTGGCTTCCAGTTGTTTATAAACAGTGCAAAGATAGGCATCTGTATAGTCAAATCCTGGTACGCATTAATAATTAATTCCTTAGTATAAATTCATACAACATGGTCCTTTCAACCTTCATAAATTTTCTAAAACAGGTGGAATGTCTGTTGAACATATTAATGGGTTCCCAGAAATTTGGACTATAAAAACATTTCAAATGAGGTCATCTGTGTCAAGCATTGGCAGAGGTTCATGTTTTCTCCCCCATCGGACAACTGATCAGAGTTTCTTGCTGGGAATGCTGCAGGCGCTCTCTTCCTGCTCTTTCTTGATATTGTCTGAACATGGTCTCATTGTTTATTTTTGCTTCTGTACTTATTCTCTTCTATATTTTTGGAACAAATTAAAACAGACAAATACTACCTACTTTCTTTGACTTATTCTATTCCTCCTTTTTCTTTATTATATTATCTTTCCAAAACTTTTAAACTTCTACCAGTATTCTCTTTTCAAGGTGTTGTACTTTTCGTACACAGTTAATCTGCAAGAATGCCCAGAAAAGAATAAACAAGGAAGTATTGGAAAATATGAATGATTAAAGACTATTAATTATCTTCTCAAGGTATTAAAACATGTTATAAAACTACAACAATTGAAATGGTATGAAATAAAATAAAATGGTATGATATTGGTGTCAGACTAGATGTTCAGTATCAGTATAACGGACTGGATAGATAACAGAGAAGGAAACCCTTTTGTACATAAGAACATAATATAGGATAAATGAATCATTATAAGTCAATTAAGGGGGAAGAGATTAATATGTGTTTTGGGATGACTGGCTAAAAAGTGGCATTTTTGTTCTCAACATTGCTTTGTATGCTTAGAATTGAGAATCCCAAAGAATTTTATCTATGCGAATTATATCTACTGAGATTAACTTTATTAGAAACTAAAGCTGAGAAATTATTATAACGTTTATTTGGTAAATAAAAAAATAACAAAGAACTTACTACATGTTAAAAAAATGGCATGGTTCTATGAAACATAACTGTAGTTTCCAAAACATAAAAAATGTAGAAGAATAGCATCATTTTAAGTTTTTGCAAATCTGTCTAATGCCTTGCTAATAGAGGACATCTGGGTTCCCATAAACGTGCCTGGAATCAATCTGTTGTGATATATCATTTCCGTTCATGGAAATGAAGAAAATCCAGCCTCACACAGACATGTTACCAGAAAAGGAATTGATATTACAATAGCTTTTTCAGATATGGCTGTTCTCCCATATCAACAGTGGGACTTTCTCTCTCTTTTTTTTTAAAGATTTAATTTATTTGTTTGAGAAAGAGAGCTAGAGAGAAAGAGCACGAGCAGGGGGAGGGGCAGAGGGAGAGCGAGAATCAGACTCCCCACTGAGCCGGGAGCCCAACTCGGGACTCCATTCCAGGACCCTGGGATCATGACCTGAGCTGAAGGAAGATGCCTAACCAACTGAGCCACCCAGGCGCCCGCTCCCAACAGTGGGAGTGTCTTAAAAGTTTATTGCAATCTGAAATATTAGTGAGTTTTTTGTACTCACTTACACAAAAATCCTTTGGTTTGTCCTATACTTTGAATGAGTCTTTTACCCAAGAATGACTTTTGATCTCGCAAAGCCTCTGAAAAGGTCTTGAGAACTCCTAGAAGTTTCTAGACCACCTTTGAGAACCACTACGTTAAAGAGAAAAGGGCTTAGGATTCATCAATGAAACCACAAAGTTGAACAGATTTGAATGTATCACATTAAAATTTAACATGTATTTCTTAAGGCATAATCCAAGTTAAATGTAAACCAAAAATTATGAACAAATGTTAATATAAGTACAACACAAGGGTAAATAGTTTTAGTATTTAAAGAACTTGCAGATCAATAAGTAAAGCATGAATCTCACATAGATTAATGAGGACAGAACATAAACACAAGAGTTCATAGGAGAAAATAACTTCACATGGAAATATGCTCAACAGAAACATAAAAATGTTTGCAGCAACCAAAAATTAGCTATTAAAAAATGTCAGACTAGGGGCGCCTGGGTGGCTCAGTGGGTTAAAGCCTCTGCCTTCAGCTCAGTTCATGATCCCAGGGTCCTGGGATCAAGCCCCGCATCGGGCTCTCTGCTCAGCAGGGAGCCTGCTTCCCTTCCTCTCTCTCTGCCTGCCTTTCTGCCTACTTGTGATCTCTGTCAAATAAATAAATAAAATCTTTAGAAAAAAAAAATGTCAGACTAGCAGAGAAGAGGGCAAAGAAATTGACATTCATATATTATAGGTAGAAACATGTTTAGGCACAAGATTTGAGGAACATTTGCACAAAAGGAATTAACAGCGTTGAAAATATCCATGCCCTTTATCTTTTGCACATCTTTGTTAAAAGATTTTATATGAAAAAGGCTTTGCGGAAGAAGATGCTTTGGATGGCATTATTTATTATAGAAAAAAACCCTAGGGAATGATTAAATTATTTATGGTTTCATCTACCCAGTAAAAGATTAAACAGACATTGGAGATAAAACTTCACAATGTGTCTACAACGCAAAGGAAAAAATACTTAAGCTATAAAATTAGGTGAACCAAGTGAGATTCACAAATTAACTATTCAGCATGATAAAAATACATTTAACAACAATAACAACAAAACACTAAACTGTTAAGTAGAGGGAAATCTAGCCAGTAGATGATTGTTTTTTGTTGTTAGCACTCTGGTTGTTTTCTAGCTTTTTCTATTTTTCTGAATTTTCTAAAATTTTGATGAGCATTTCTTATGCAAAAGTTTGTACTTTTTTTTTTCAAGATTTTATTCATTTTGATAGAGAGCACACATGAGCAGGGGGAAGGGCAGAAGGAGAGGGAGAGAGAGAATCTCAAGCCAATTCCATGCTGAGCGTGGAGCCCGACTTGGGGCTCTATCTCAGACCCTTTATGCCAGTCATCACCCTGGTAGTTGCTGCTGTGACAGGAACTTCTTTCTGGTCTCCTCCATGTGGCTAGTGTTAATTCTGTTACTGAGATCCCATTTGAAGGATTTTACTAGCCTGTGTTGTAGGCTGTGGCAGCCAGCAGTCTCCAAGTTGTAATTATGGGTCAACAGCCACTAAAGGGGACTATTTGGTATGGAAGGGAAGGGCCCGCATTGGCCTGCCTGCAGCTCTGTCCCAGGGCTGTGCCCAGCCCCACTCCAAACAAACATCTGGGCCCTCAGCAGCTGATCTGAGTCAGCCATGAGCTCTCTAGCCTCTCAGTTCCAGCAGTGGTAGAAGAAACAGGTTTCGGATCTCACAAGTTTTCGTCTACTTCAAAAATGGAAGGATGGCACCAGCATAATCCTCGCTCACTTCCCAGTTTGAGGGCTCTCTCCGGTGCTCCTGGGACTGCAATTGCCAAACCTCAAGCAATATTCAGCCCCCACAGAAGCCAACGGGGCTTCTCTTTTGTTAAAAAATGATTACCCCTGGGTGCCTGGGTGGCTCAGTTGTTTAAGTGTCCAGCTCTTGGTTTTGCCTCAGGTCATGATCTCAGGGTTGTAAGATGGAGCCCCATGTCAGGCTCTATGGTAGGCATGGAGCCTGCTTAATTAAGATTCTCTTTCCTTCTGCCCCTCCCCCACCTCTAATAATAAAAAAAAAAAATTGATGACCCTTTCCCATACACCACTTCCTGCTACCATAAAAAGACATATTTTTTATTTGTAAGGTGCTCATATTCTAGTTTCATAAGGTAAGTGTTTTGCAAATATCTTGAGGACATTTCAAAATCCTGCAGGGTTAAATAGATACATGGCTTCCAATAATTGGCTGTGGGAGTTACTAATAAAATATTTCTGTCTCAGTAAAGTTGATAGCCATCTAGTGGTTACACCCCATGGGAGAGCTTTTTGTCCTATGGTTCCTGAACATGATGATGTAAGGGTGATTTATATATCATGAAAACCTCCAATAACATAAATGGGGAAAGACAATGCAGGCTCTCCTGCTTGAGGAAACACACTGCTTAGCCTGAGTCCCACAGCCACAGGATCCCAAACACAAAATCAACCAAAGAAATGCACAACATTTGCTTTGCCCTATGTTTTCCTAACCAGTTGTCTTCATATTCTTTCTGCCCTAACAGTTGCTTCAGGAGTGAGTAAAAAAAAAAGAGGGAGAGATTGAGAAAATCCACTCCCTCTTCCCAGACCCTATCATGAGTGTCGCAGGGACAGAACACCCATTGCCCTATCCTCAGTGCTACTGTGGCCAATGTCCTGTCTCAGATTTTTCTGTTCCATAACCACAACCTGGGAGTCCACTGTGGCTCCCATCACCAAAAGCACTTGCTGTAAACCCCAATTTCAAATATCAAAAGCTGCACCACAGCAGGCTTATACTAGTTTCTAAAATTCTCATTTATCTCATTGATCTAATATTTTTCCCCTATGTAACCAAATTTATAGACAAATGTAACTAATCATCAGAATTAGAACACAGCCATTGCCTAAATTGGGAAATAGAAATTATCTTTCCAGGAAAAAATTAGATTTTCTTACCATTGATTATAAAATGTATGTGTCTTCTCTACAATATAGTTGGAGCATTATTTTTAATGACCCAAACTCTCTTGAAAGCAGATTTCAAAAAATAACTCAAAACTGATTTTTCTATCGTAGAATTACACTGTTCCTTCTGGTGACTTGTTGATGTTGTCTCCATTTTGGCTGCATAGAAATCCGAAATATTTTCCTGAACCTGCATTGTTCAAACCTGTAAGTTATCTTTTTCAATATACATTGTCCTTTGATTTTAATTTCTTTTATGCCGGGAGTATGAATTCATAGATTAACTATCACTCTATCATTAAACAGCCCTATTCTCTGGTAACTAACAACCAAGCTGACTATAAAGGAAGAATCAGACTTATAATATGAGTGGTACAACACAAATGAGATAGAAAAGTTTTTGGAATAAAATTCACCAATTTTAAATAAATGATCTGAAAGCAGCAACGTACATTAAAGTAAATATGTCTGGTTCTGATAGAAGACTTATATTCATCAGGCCGTTGCTCCTGTTATTGGTTTCCAAGGAGTATAACAAAAGAAAAACAAGGCAAATCAAAACTGCTTTACTGTTGCTTAAAACTGGGGAGTTACAGGGCTGAGCAGAATCTTAAGAGTTCATTTAATCCATTCTCTGCCTTTAGGTAAAACTTTTAAAAAATGGCATCCCGATGTATTCATTCCACATCCCAAGTTCCCTCCACTAAGCAGGGCTGCCAGTAACTTACTGAATTTATTACCGAGGGCAATTCTGTGATGGGGACTGAGACCTTATTATAAATAGTCTTCCTTTTCTGAGGTCAATTCCGTGGTTGATTTACCTTATCATTTACATTTACCACTTAACAGGATTCTTTTTAAATCTTTTTATTTATTGGTTCACATTCCAAAAACACAATTGTGTCTGATATTAATAACAGGTTGGGAAAAAATTACCAACAGCCCTGCAACTTTATATGCAAGGATTAGCTGTACAAAGTCATTTTTAGCCTAGAGAAATAAAGTTAAGCTTATTTATATAAGGCTGATTTGGAAAAAAAAAAATGCTTTCTTCCCACAGGAACGTTGGAAAAAGGCAAATTTAGAGAAGCACGCTTTCTTGGACCAGTTCGTGGCATTTGGAAGCGGGAAGTACCAATGCCCTGGAAGGTCAGTGAGACAGCTGAGCCACGTTTATCCAGAAAGTCTAAGAAAGACGATGGCTCTGAATGGGAAAACTTTGGCTTAATCCCCCTTTTCTTTATTATCAAACTACAGGGAGATCCAGGAGTCCACGTTTCATTTGGTTGGCCAGTTGTATTGTGCCATGTCTTTGTGGGAATGTCTACCATGACTTCTGATGGGATACCTCATGAGAACAAAATATTATGATTGCTGCTGTATGATGACAACAGGGTCATTAAAAGTTTTTTATAGAAAGGATTAGAGTGGAGCATGCCTTAGGTTATATAATCATGCTTATATTCCATGTGAGAGACATGGGGTGGTAAGATCTACCAGATTTGGAAAATAATTAGAAATGGGATTGATCAAAGGGAAGGATTTGTGGAGGACTGTGGCTTGAAGGTAGGTGGCTGGAAGATGTGGAAATAGAGAAATGAGGAGCAAGAGAAAGTTTAGAGGACGAGGTGTTACATTTTCCTTTGAAAACTACTTAGTCTGAGATGTGGCAAAATATGAATCCTATAACCAAATTCTATAGGTCAAATCTGAAGGTTGAATAAATGTAACAATAAATAAAAACCTCCGTAGTCTAGTTTTTCTATTGTTTCTGCTTTTAGAAGTCCTTAACTTTTCTGTTATTAATTTTAAGTAGCCAACCCATGAAACATTGTTCCTAAAGACAGACAAAGCAGAATTTTTGAGGAAAGCGAAGGACTCCTTTTGGACAGTGTTCTAGCAAGATGGATCTTTTCACTAGAAATGTAATCCCACAGATCTTTAGTATAATCCTCAGAAAATTGCACCCATTCTAAATTTGTCTACTAAGAGCCAATTTATTTTCTCATCTACCAAACACTTAGTGAGTCAGAGAAAATTGCCTTTAAAGTAGCTGACAATCAAAGTTCATCATGAAGGCATAGTCTTATGGCTTTGCAGCTGTCACCCCTTGGAGTTCAGGCCACTGAGGCACTATGAGGACCCCTCTCATTAATAAACACAGAGGGTTTTGCTGAATTTAGTAAATAAGTATTCAGTGCTGCTATCAGCTGCCAACCAAAAATCAGAATGGAAGAATATTGTTCTTGCTCCGAATAATGGGAATTCCGGAAATGTGTTTTGGAGGAAGAACCCCTTGTTAGGTACTTCCCCATTGCTGGGAAGCCCTTGGATACAGGAAGGAAGGGAACTCTTCCCAATAATTCTATTGCTAAAGAAGTACAGTAGTTTTGCAGAAAAACAGGAAAAAGCAGCAAGAGCTAGCAGATTTCTTCAGCAATGGTAGCAAGCAGAATAAGGAGTTGCCTTGCAGTGGACATTCTCCTCTTAAACTGTGAATTTAGATGAAGGACTAGAATGGGATTTTCCGTGTTGAGTGGGTATGTGAGAGTGGATGATCTCAGCACAAAGGAATGTGCTTGCTCTATTGCAAACCCACCTCCCCCACCCCACCAGCCAACAGCCTTAATTTCCCTTGCTTCGCATCCCTGAAAGAGGATGCCTGGTTGACTGTCTCACTGTGGTCATTGATATGGGTTACATTCCAGTGTAAAACAATAGCCCTGATCTTTGGCAAGATACCTCACTTACAAAAGCTTGCTTGGGTAAGAAGAGGGTGTAGTAAGAGCTTGAGAGGTGGAAATGAAGCGTGGATTCCTCAGGAGTAGAAAGTGTGATCTCAACTTTTTTTGTGGGCCTTTGGGTCCTTCTTATATCCTAGGGCAGTACTAGTACAAATCATGGTCTTGTCTTGGATTACTAATGAATTACTAATGAAAATCACCCAGCAATGGGAAAATTAGTTCAAACATAGGTCCAGCTGATAGTAGATCAGTAGTAGTGGTAGTGTTCAACCTGACAGGAATCTCTGAAGCACCTAATATTAGTATGTTTATTCGTTCATTCAGTAAATATTTATTGAGAGTATGCTCTCTGGCAGGATAGGGTTCTGGGAGTTACCTTGGAAAACAAAAGAGGGGATGAAGTGCCTTCCCTCAAGGAAGTTTTAGTCTTAAGTCACTTCAGGAACCACTGGGGAAATTCAAAGACACGTAACATTCTTGAGTCATTTATAATGTAGCTGGGGAGATGAGACAGAGCAACATGAGAAACAAGCTTTTCTTTTTTTTTTTTTTTTAAGATTTTATTTATTTATTTGATGGACAGAGATCACAAGTAGGCAGAGAAGCAGGCAGAGAGTGAGGAGGAAGCAGGCTCCCTGCTGAGCAGGGAGCCCGATGTGGGACTTGATCCCAGGACCCTGAGATCATAATCTGAGCTGAAAGCAGAGGCTTAACCCACTGAGCCACCCAGGCACCCCTGGAGAAACAAGCTCTTCTTAACACCATAAACTGACCGGTGAGAAATGCCAGATGACATACATACATAATAACCACCTTCGGAGTTTTGAGGAAGGAGATTAGAAAAGGCTTTAGGGACTAGAGGGGAATCATCAATAAGCAGCCAGAGGAAAGCATACCTCCAGAGGGTGAGGGACAGTGATTGCAAAGTCTGAGGGGAGGAAGAAAAGTAAGCACTCACAGGAATGGAATGGAATGCAATGTACCCGTATGTTGGGGTTTGTGAAGCTCCTGCGTACCGTTGCTTCTACTTGTGCATTTGAACGATAATACAATCTTAATAACTGTGCCTAATTCAGTAAAATAGCCTTGCAGTACTTTGAGAAGTACTTGTATACTTAGGAATTGCTGATTTTTGAGGAGCACACTCAGTCTCTATGGATTTCATGAGAAGTTGCAAATTCAGTTTACTCTGAGGAATTTGTTACATAAACAAACGCATCCCCTCCACTCTGGTTGTTAAGTAGACTTGAACAAACTGTATTTATGTATCTAATTGTTTCTTAACATTTTCACTGTGCTCTGCACATGTCCTGGAGGGCCTATAAAAAAGGGTTAGGAGTGAGGGTGGGAAGGGTGGATGTAGTTAATCCCAAAACGGAGTCAGGCAGCCAGAACCCTTTATGAATTTTTAGCCCTGCTTCTCTCTCTTACGGCTTTACTGAGGAGCAGTGACTTACTGGAAGGAACCCAGAAACCATGGGCAAAATCGCAATCATTCCTTTCCCAGCCATTTCTTTTTGACACTTCATTATGAGGCTAAGATTTAAGTGTGTCAAGAACAGAAGAAGCAATTTAAGACTCACTTTTGATACTTGGGCCAAAGTGCTTCTAAAATAAAACATGTTCATTTCTGAGCAGAACATGTCAGAGAAGACCCTCTTTTCCTTCTGTTTACAAACTAGATCTCCAGCTCCTCCGTGGAACACAGAATAGCAGGACGGGGTTTGTATCTGTGGAGAGGAAGAAAGGGCACTCTTGCCCTGATGGGGTGTGTGTGTGGCGGGGGGGATCTTCTAATGCTCTACCTCTTTTTTATTTATTTATTTTTTTTAATGGGTTTTCTCCCCTCATCCAACTCAGTGACTGCTTTTGAACCAGTTAGAAGCCACCTGATCAGAAAGAGGGTTTAATTCCTAGGAAATGAGGACGGAATTAAAACTTTACAGTGTTGCCGTACTGCCCATGGGCTATGGTCTCCGCATCATCTAATGCCTTCTCTTCCCTTCCTAATAGCCCTCTCTTTCATTTGGGCATCCATGGGATTTGGGGGTGCTGATTCCACTCCCAAATCCATAGGAGTGGAGCCCTGTTCCCTCTGCCCATCCACAAATCCCATCCCTGTCCCTGCCCTCCTTTCCCACAGTGATTTACTTCAATGTCGGTGTATGTTTTAATCAGTGCAATTAACTACCAAGCTTTCTGCTGAGACTTATGGGTCAAACATAATCATTCCTTATGGGATGTGAATAAAGAAGCACTTGGCCCCCAAAACTGTTGGCATCTATTTTGAGACGATAAAAGCAGGCAGTGTTAGGATGCAGTTGGTACCGTAGAACAGGGTAGCAGAGGCAAACTGCCTCCCTGGGAACATCGCTGAGCTGCTGGAGTGATCTCTGCCCAAGGCCAGCATCAGCTCTCAGTTTTCCAGGTACATAAAGCAGTGCATTCCCTTCAATATAAGAACCAGTCAGATGTGAGTTCTCTGTCACTTGCAACCAAAAACATCCTAAGTCATATAATTTTCCTCAAAAGCGAAAGTGTTCTTTCAAGGTTTATTGAATTCCACGAAATATTGTGTTAACACGCTTAGCCATATCCATGAATTGCTTTTCTAAATATCTTGCCCTTTGCAGAGGGGCTGAGTTTCCTTCACTGTGGGTGTATCACAAAACAAAAGTAAATGTCACATCTTAAATTTTTTTCTGGAATCTGGAATTTAAAATATACCGTGAGATTATTTCTATTTGGTGAGTACTTAACCTCACTGAAGTCAGTACTGTTCCTTGGCCCTTTGCTTGAATAGGAAACTTGAAACACTGTATCTAACCTCCTAGCTCATAGTTCATCTGTTCTGGAGCTTCGCCTGTAGAAGGGGTAGTGGGAGGATCTCCAGTAGCAACTCTGAAAAAGGGATCTTGAGAAAGTGCCCTCCTGCTTTGACGAAATAGAGAACAATGTCCCAAGTCCAGGACAGAGATGCTCCCATCCTTCCCTCTTTGTCTTCTTACAAGCTTTCTCTCCTCTTTCCCCTTCTGTATAATTCCCATTCTCTTCTCTTTTCCACAGGCTTTCTTCTTGTCCTTCTCTTCCACTTATCTTTATCCCTTTCTCCCCTCCCTACCTTATTCTGGGTTTCCCCCTTATTCAGTGTAAGCATCTGCTTGTTCACTCTACAGATTACATCCTCACCATCTTCCCCAGTTAAAAGTGTTTCATGTATAGTTGAGACAGTCTTTATCATTGTGAATTTTGTACTGAAACTAAAAAAGTTGATAAACTACATATTTTAACATATTTCTTTTTTCCCTTTCTCCTTGTCAACTTCTTCTAGATCAGTGCTTCTTAAAGTGTGATTCCCCAGACCACCAATAGTTAACACTACCTGGAAACTTGCAAAAAATGCAA